ATGGATGGATGGATGGATGGATTGTGATAAGAGCTGTATGAACCCCCAATAAAATGATTTAGAAAAAGAAAAAGAATCTGGCCATTAATCTGCAAATATCATCTGCAAAGCCAAAAAAAACCAGAAAATATCTTCAATTCCATGTAAGCACCCAAACTCTGAGTCTATATACAGGTTCCACATAAGCACTGTTTAATGTTCTGGAAATTCCATTTTTCTCAAAGTTATCCACAATTTGTTATGATCCATACAGTTAAATGTCTTGGCAGAGTCCATAAAAGACAAGCAAATCTCTGTTCTGAAATTTTTTCCATTCAGCCAAGATCCATCATCTGATGGATACTAGCAAAACTATTTCCCAGTCCATGTCCCCTTCAAATCCAGCTTGGATTTCCGGCAGCTCGCTGTTGGCATAGGACTGCAACTGTCGTTAAAATATCTTCAGCAAAATGTTACTTGTGTGTGATATTAATGACATTGTTCGATCCTTTCTGGATTCTCCCTCCAGTCACCTGCCTTCCAAATGTATCGGCAGGGACAAGTGACCACCTCCAGTACAGCATCAGTTGTTGAAACATTTCACTTGACAGTCTGTCAGGTCCTGGAGCCTTGTTTTCTTTTACCCGTGCTGTCAGAGCAGCTCGAACGTCTTCTCTCCAGGCCAACAGCTCTTGAGCATATGCTGCCTCTGAAAATAACTGAATGTCAACCAGTTCTTTTGGATACAGAGACTCTGTGTGTTTCTTCCCTCTTATTTTGATGCTTCCTGTACTGTTGAATATTTTGTCCACGCAATTCTTCTATATTTCAACGCAAGAATTGAGTTTTGTCTTCTGGTCTTTTGACTTGAGCCATACTAAGCATGTTTTTCCCTTTGGGTTTTCTAACTCCAAGTCTTCGCACATTTCAACATTTCATTTTAACACTTCTCTTTGTCTCCTTGAGCTGCCCTTTGAAATCCTCTGTTCGCCTAACTGGGTTCATGCAAAACTTGTACACAGACCAAGCGGCAGCTGTTCAAATGGAATAAAGGAATAGTGTGTGGTTTAAAACCAAGTGTACAGAGATGTATCAGTTCACCACATTTATTCTATCCGGCTGAACCAATCATTAGAGAAACTGAAAAAATAATAATAATTCGAGAAACTGGAATGTATGAAGACGCGCTGGAGGAAGGCTAATTCACAACCTGAATTTGTGGATGATGCAACCTTCCTTCATGAAC